TACAATTGTTGTTGTCATATTGTTATCAAAGAGAAAATTCATGTCAACATCAAAACAAATAATAAAATTTGTGTAACATTATATGATCTTGTAAGTCAATTCCAATGTCCAGTGACTGTAATGATAAGTTTATTAAAGTCATCTTTGGGAATTGGTATCTTGACATCATCTGGGAGCTCTTCATCCACAAAGGATTTGAGTTTGCCAACAAGTGGGAGCATAGTTTTTCGTCTCTTTTGAAGATTAGTCCGTATTTGATTACTGACATCGCTGACTACAAGAAAAATCAGTTAATAGAGGAAATAATATTGTAACTTTCTGCTGACAGCAACTTACAGTCGTATTTATTACTGGTGACTGTGATGATCAAGCCAATAGATACAATTAAAAGTGAGAAGAATTAGTTTGTAATAATAATAATGCCACTCTCCATCTATCATGTTAATAAACGTCTAGTTGAGGTGGTTACATCATGTAAAGGCAGCAGTTTACCGTCATTCCCTTCCCTCTACCCTATACACACACTATAAGTAAAGAGTCAGCTATAATAGGTCTTCTAAACAATGACATTACTATGTACTCTAGTCCACTCTAGCCTATGTATAAAGGAAACGTCGAGGAATGTTGGATAAAGGAAGGCGTTAGTCAACGCCGCACGGGATACTAAATGTTGATTCAAGTGGATAGTAATAGATGCATAAAAGAAGAACGCCGGTGGATAGGGACATGGGGAAAGCAGCACAAATTACAAAGATGGTAAAGATGTAAAAATTAAAGTTACGCATCAACAGATACTAACAAGGAGCATACTTTAGAAATAGGTGCACGGTTAAGCAATTGAAATAATATTGATAAGAGATGAAAGGGTTGTGATGAAAGGGTTGCGATAAACGGGAGAGAAAAGGTATGACAACCCAGTAACATTATTGGCCATTAAGTCTGTGACACTGCCTTCATGCACTTAGCTTAGCTGTCCCAGTCACAAAGTCATTACCTACCTTGAGCAGCTACTAATGGTTGTTTGCAAGCAAGACACAGATGGGATGATGGATGGTTGGATGAGGAATAAAGAAGAGACAGTAGAAGATGAATAGAGATGAATAGATAAGAGATAACGTGGAATACACAATATGAGCATTACAAATGAAAGTCAACCCCAATAATTCATAAGAGAGAATCCCATATTATTACGTCTCCTATACCCTATGTGCACATATGGGATAGAAATAATTTTGCCTACTGCGCTCTATTCTACGTCCCGATGCCGAACCATGAAATATAAGAGACAAAATGGAATACAAGTACTCTACTCTACCCTACGTACACACTACTCTATGTCCCCAACGCCCCGAGTCACAAAAGAGATGGGTATCCCTATACATGTGAATAATTTGCCTATCTACTCCAGTTACAATAACACTCGCAATAAAACTATATTACAATCCACATCACCACGTCTACTCTTATGTAAATTTTATTAGGAATTTGCCCTATTAGTACTATATTACTTACTATTACGGTGATTTCGTACGAAGGTACCAACTACACCTTGTTGGAATAAAGGAAGCCCCAGGCCTTGGATAAATGTTGAGAGGGCAGTATCATCATAGGTAAGCAGAGCAGGAACAAAGCCTTCCTCTGGGCAGCCAGTATCTACGAAATTTTGTCTGAAATTAGTTAGCTTTGTTATGTCCAAGAATTCTGTCAAAGTTCCCTGTTGAACTGACATTGTTGCTAAGTTGAGAGAAAAAACAAGCATTAGTACTATGCGCGATGTCTAATATACTGACGCCGATCGGTGGCTTAATCAATGACGTATTATTAATTATTAGGAACTTTTCACAATGTAACTAACGAAAATACTAATTGGCCAACCAGAATGCACAGATTATCGTATAATAAAAAAAAATAGTATCTATCATGTTCTGCAAATACTTCAATCACGACTGCACAAATCGAACCCATGAAATATAGTACATATGTACAGCTTTATGTTATGCTTGTTTATTATGTGAGACAGATAATAAATTTGAGAGTTGTAATTGCAAAAGAGAGAAAGTTACAGGTCGCTCAGAGAAAAAAGCTTTCTAAAAGATATGATGCAAGATTTACTTTTCACACATGCGCATTTTTTTTTCCTAACAAAACCGAAGTAGTTTTTTCGAACAAACAATTAGAATAGAGAGTTATTGCAGTCATTAGTATAGAAAATATCACGAGCATTGACCCGAATTGTATTTATTTAAATATTAGCTACGCCTTTGTTTTGTGTGATTTAATGCGAAAACTGCGGCACGTCTATTTTTAATGTTCTATTAATAAATTACGTATGAGCAGCTTTCATCATGCTTTTTTTCCCTGAAAGTTCTAGCATACAATTGCTTTTCATGAATTAATATTTGTTCAGTGTTTCTGAGTGCCAAAGATCATGATATTAGAATGGAACAAAACTAGAAATTGGGGAGTTATTAACAGATTGACTCAATTGTCGCAAAACAATTATTACCCGTTAGCGCTAGCCAAAGACGCGTAATCCCTAATTAGTTTGTTACCTTTGATAACTGAGTTAATCAAATTTGTCGTATTAACAAAAATTTCTTAAATTCACTATAAAACAAGTTACTGTATGTCTAGGTTAGTGAATTACTTTATCCTTGCGCAAAATACGTGTATAAGCATGAAAAATCAAACAAGAATTCTAATAAAATTTCAAAACTACCATTATTTTGCATCATCGATATTTACAATCAACAAACGAGTATATTTCACAAAGTAGTAATAGGTAGGTTGGTTTATTGTTCGGCTAACTTCTTGAACCGATTTTCCCGCCTCTATAGATGCTCCAAATAAAACGAAAACGGAAATATTGCTTTTCTTGTTATATTGCCGGCATTTTGATCCTTGCCGAGAAAATTTTTGACCATCATCATGCGTGTGTCGTGATCAAGTATAGATGATGCATTCCTCCGTGGTTTTGGTACGAACCTTCCCAGAGCTATGACACATCGAGCTTGAGTAACACAAGCGGATTGTTGACAGACACAGCAAGGTCAAGAAATTCGACCGGATTTGAACAGAATTATTGACATCGTAATTAATTGTTTCCCACAAATAATTGGTTTAGCGATAACACAAGTGCACAAGCTGCGGAATTGTTGACATTGCGAATAATTAATTATTCCCGATATATCGAAATAATAATAATGTTCTGACCCGAATCGCAATCTGACCCAATTCGAAATCGGGTCGACCCAAATCAAAATAAGCTCCGAGTGATATTTATTCGACATAAT